CAGGCTGAAGTTAAACAGTACCCAGGGAAGTTACTCAATTAGATTTCCTTCAATTGTTATTGTTAAACTGAGCAATTGAGCCTGACAGAGAGAGAAATGTGGTAAGAGCAGAGATTACTGCAGCCTTAAATTCACCCTTGGAGCAAAAGCATCACAGAAAATAGGGCTGAAACACTCAGAACGGAGGGATGAACTATAACTAGATGGCCCCTTGAGGTCCATCTTTGCCTTCCAGTTTGATTAAGCCATTAAAAATCAAAAACAGATACGCCCTGAAGACTCAACTCTCTTCAGTCACATTCATCTTTTAGTTGCATACAGATCTGATCCCAAAACATTAGCTATGAATAGTGCATTGCACTTCTTCCTTTAAAGGTCTGTACAGAAACTGTTAGCATGATTTGAAAGAATCATTGACTAAAAGACTCACTAAATTACAGTATCTGGAAGAGCTTAATTTTTTTTACATGCTTTCTTAGCTCCAAAGCACAAAATAAATGCTCCTCCTGCCTCCCTCAGCCAGATATAACTCAACTCTGCCAATAAAACTGAGCATAAATTCTTTGCATGGTTTTAGATTATCTGACATAAGCCAGCTGTTGAACACTGAGAAATGGTTAAATCTAAACCTCTGCTAGCAAAGCCAGCTGTATTATTCAGAGGAGTCCAGGAGAGTTGCATTTTGAACGAAGCTTGGAAGGCAGGCATGAGCCACAGAGAAAATCTTGGCAAGAAAAAGAACCAGTGCTTCATTCTTCGGTTGCTAAAAGACGACTGTTGCTGGGAACACCTCAACTATGCTTTCCACAGCCAAAAACTGAAGACCAGTTCTTATCTGCAAGACAGACAACAGCTTTATCTGAGGGAGAACAGAGCACTTAAACAAGGAGACTGAATCAAAGGGGCCCTCTGCTGAACCCACTCCATTTATCAGACAGGAATCACCTTCCTTCAGGAACAGAAGGCAGAAAACCAAACAAATCAACAACCACACACACAAAACCCCAAGCATCCTCCCAGCTTGAATACTCCTCTCAAAAATTATTTCTCAATGGTAGTATCAAAGAAATGACAGTAAAATATTATATATGACCTCTTGGTCAGCAGCCCTGCTGCAGGCCCATGCAAATACCAGCTTTCCCATCAGTGGATCCTGGATATATTCACCTGAATGTCACCACAGGCACACACGAGATCCCAAAGTGACAGATCCCAGCACAGGTGAAATTTTTTAATTCAAACTGAGATTATTTGGAATACAAGCAACCCCCAGTCAATACATGAGCAATCTTTGCCAGGAACTATTTCATCACAGTAATGGATAATTACAATCTCTGCTTTAAGAGCCCAGCAGTTTCAATTGCTATGAAAAAAAGGAGAATAAAGAACTAAAATCTTCCATCATTAAGCAGAACGACCCACAAGCGTGCCAAGCAGGTGTCATTTCCTAACGGCAATGCTTTCCATATTGACTGTGCAGGGTCATGGTAGACTGCCAGTTACCCACCCCACTGCCTGTTGTAGTCACTCTAAATTGTACAAAAATTAATGCAAAGTTAAGCATCAACTCTGCTTAGCCAAAGCGTTACAGATTCCAATTAACTTTGATTACCTTATAGTAACACAGGCCTAGCAGCACTAACAGATGACACAGACACACCTTCACCATTAACTGCACAACAGCAAGAAGTAGCAGATTTAAAGCACAACTAGAGAGCAAAGAACCCCTCCAATACTCCTTTATTTTGTGACCTGGAGTAAGCTGCATTTCAGTTCACCTTTCTGTACAAGACAAAACATAATGCCCCTTTGTAAGACAGCTACCAGGAATACTTGTATATCACCTGGAAAACAGAGAACAGCACTGCAGCATGAAGTACTGGTACCAGTTTCACACAAGGAAGGTACAAACCTGAATGCATCTTCCTACAATTAGCAGCAAAGTCAATAGAAGAAAGTTATTCCTGGTTCCTGAGCTTTTTTCTAATAGCAAACCTGTCTGACCTGTACCAAGCCCTTCTGTTTCACCAGGTAACCGCACACTCAATGCTGCATTGGTACTCACCTTACGTTTTAATGCAACCTCTTAAAGCAAAGTTTAACATGCCAGATATGCCTGAAACACCCACTTGCAGTGGGGACTGCCTAAGTTGGTGTACTAGCTATAGCTGCAGGTCAAGCAAAAAAAAATTATTGCAGCTTCTGACTCTACTGCTGGGCTATCCAGAGCTAAAATTCCCCTGCCTGAAGCAATCATTGGGGCCAGAGAGCTCCTGCTGAAATCCAACACCAAGGACAGTCCCAGTCCGCCCCCTCCACAGCAGCTCTCCTCAGGACCGACATTCAGAAGTCCTAAACAATGATTTTGACTTGCTGGGGGAAAGAAAAATAAGTGTTGAGCATCCATCGCTCTAGCGGGATGTAAAGATGCTCAGAGTTACCTAGAATCCAGCCCCCGGTGTTTTAGACACCCTATCACACGACTATTTTTAAAGACATTCACCCACAGGTTGTTGGTATGATTATACCAACCCTCTAGTACGCTTATTATACAGTCTCTCTTCCCTCAGCCATTTTCCAACACCCACAGACATCTCTTCTGTTCCTTTACACACACACCCTTCTCCCAAACTAGAGTCATTTAAAAACCAGAATGTTTTCAAAACACTCTAAATTCATCAAACCACAGAAAAACATTGGAGGAGTGCACAACCTCCAGAAAAAGCTTTGCAGTTAATGTGACCGTGATGCGTAAGAACCCAACACAAAAAAGAGCCAAGTGACAGCAGATTCCAAATCCACTCTATGCAGTTTGCTAAATTAACAGCCAACAGGAAAAACACAGTCAACAAATGCAAACACATCTTCAGCTCCTCCAAACTTCAGGGGAGTGCAGGTTTAAGGCCAACAAAGCAACTGCAGCACCAACTGCTACACCTGTGGTACAGCGAGCTACGCGTTTGCATGCAGCAGAGAAGGTGGCACAGCGTTTATTAACCCTGCACAATCATTCCCAACGTTTTCCATGTGTCTTTTTACGTTACAATTTAAACCCTGTCCGAGGCGCTTCTTCCATTTCCATGTTTGAAGGCAAAGCAGGGAAGTCACCCCTGCTCTGCAACTTTTTGCTTACGCTGAACTAGGATAGAAGCAGAAGACATGGAGAGCGTAGCATTTAATGCCTTCCACGCCCTCTGGTACGTACCCCTCAGCAGAGAAACACAAGCTTGCCTCATTCTCAGGTTCACACCAACTTAAAAACCAAAACAAAGCAAGAAAATCACACCTCGCATCGAAGCGCGCATCTGGGGACTCGCACTCATCTGAGCCCAGCTTGACCAACAGACTTTGAAGGGAAGAAGCAGCCTGATGGGCTTGACACAGACACCGGCCTCACCCCCGAGGAGCGGGACAGGCAGGCGAGGCAGGAGGCAGGCGGGGGGGGCAGAAGCAGGCAAGAGGAGCAGCGGGACAGGTTGGCAAGGTGGAAGGACAGGCAGGTGGTGAGGCAAGACGGCCAGCGGGGCGGGAAGAAGGCAGGCAGGGGCCGGGAAGGCAGCCTGCGGGCAGCCGGGCAGCGCGACCCGGGGTCGGGCTGGGCCTCCGGCGCGGTGCCGCAGCTCGGCGGTGACCACGGTTAAGGCCGACACCGTTCCGCTGCGGCGCGGCTCCAGCCGCTCCCCCGGATTCCCGGGCGAGAAGGGGACGGCGAAACCCGGCCGGAGAGAGCCAAGAGCCCCACCGGGACAACACGGAGAGAGCCCGGGGGGGGGACACGAAGCGGCGGTGACCCCCGCGGGGGGCCGCGGCAATGTCACCCGGCCCCGCGCGCCGCCACACGGTCCCGGGGCCTCCCGGCCCTCAGGAGCGAGGCCACGGCGATGGTGCGCCCAGGTCCCTGTCAGCGCCCGCCGACGGGGCGTGAGGGGCCCGGGGCCGGCCCGCACTCACCGGCTCGGCTCCGCTCCGCGCTCGGCGCCGCCTCAGCCGCTGTCTCCCCCGCGGCCGCCAGGCCTCCCCCTCCCCCGCTGCGGCCGCCGTGAGGCGGGGCCTACCCTAACGGACGACCAATAGCGGCGGGAGAGGGAGTACGGTGCGCGGGGAGTGGCCGCGCGTCCGCAGATAGGCGGCGGCGGCGGCCAACCGGTGCCGGGAAGAGGAGGGGCTGCGCCGGCCGGAGGGAGGGCGGAGCGCGGTATGAAGTGGGTGGAGAGGGGGAGGCGGGGCGCGCCCGGCGCAGGGGCGCGCAAATCCCGCGCAGGGCCCTGCCCCGCTCTACCTGCCTTCCCCCGGCTGCCCGGGTCCCCACCACCACCTCCCCGGTCCCTGGGGCAGCGAACCGTGCCAGACCCCCGTGCCATGCCCGGTCCCGGTGTCCCAGAGGGCAGGATGCCGTGCCCGGGCTGCAGCTGCGTCCCAGCTGCGCTCTGCCCGACAGCCCCCTTCACCCCGGGTCGGTCCGTTCCCCACAACCCCGTCGGGTATTAAAACCAAGATATTGCAGCTACAAGCAGCTCAGCGTTATACCAATGCTTATTTAAAGCAGAAGGGAGATAAATCCAAGCTTTCCTGCCACTGTGGTGGAACCCCATGTTTGATTCTCCCACATTAAGCCTTGGTGCTGCTTCTCACCCACCCAAGAGCTAAGGCTGCACCCAACGTGCTCCCCACAGCAATCAGGCTCTCTCTCCAACACAGGGCACCCACAGGACTTAGGACCTCAGGGTCTCTTCATCAGCTCTTCTTGGCCACTCTGCCACAAAGGAGAGGGGCACCTTCACCGGAGGAGCTTGGCGAGGAGGTCAGAGCAGCACTCAAAGACACCGAGTTTCTCGCCCAGCAGGAAGAGAGGAGACCCAGGCAGCCTCTCCTCAAACACTCTCACGGGGTTAGAGGCCTTTGAAGAACAGAATGACCTTTGCTATCTGCTGGCAGATAGCGTGGGGCCAAAGGAGGCTTTACTTACAAACTCATCACAGAGGCATTTCCACCACCTTTCTTTTCCTGCCTCAAAAAGGCTCCATAAAGAGCCAACCACCCTTGTACATTTTTATGTTTTATAGGGTCAACATTTCTACAGAGAATATCACATTAGAAAACATCCACTCAAACACAACATCAGTAGCAGCGCAGGAGGAAGGTTCAGGACCAGAGCAGGGCTAGTAACAACACAGCCCAGCAAGAAATAGGGGCACACAGAAGCCTTTAGCTGAGCCTTCAGATCCTTTCTGGATGTTTCACCTCCCCTGTTTTGCCCCCAGGTCCACAGCTGCCTTCAGACCATGAGGCGCACGGCCTCTTCATTACAATTACAGCACCCTTGGATTCAGGGAAGCACCGCCCTGCTAAGAGATAACCAAAGCGCGGGCTCCCTGGTGCTGGCTTCCTGCTGTGTGGTACCACTGCTAGTTTGTCCCTGCTTTGAAACTGCCATCCTCGCAAGCAGTCCCCTCCCTGCCGCCCCAACTTGCTCATCTCGCTGAAAGAGAACATGAACTTTCCTCCTGGATGCAAATGGCAACATCAAAGTACGTTGCTTTGGGCCACACTATCCAAAATGCTTACTTTGCTTTTGTTTAAAAATGTTATGTTGGCTGAAAATCCAAACTGAAGCAGCAACACAGAATATGGTCAGCAGTAAAATAACAGCAGAATAGTACAACAGGACAGAACACATTCACAAATGATGGGATTTCTCCTCATCCATCCCGTTAACCAGATCAGGCTGCTAGCCTCCATCGGCAGAGAAACAAATCAGAACCAGCTGCCATGGTACGTACCAAACTCCTATCAGGAAAGAGCCACTTTTGCTCTTCCTGTATAGAACAGAGCATGTGGAAACAGCCCCGTTCTGTACACAAGGAACATACATAACAACAGGGGGGAGCAGATCATCTTCAGGCATTAGATGATTCAGGGAATGATTACTACACAGAGTTGATTTGCTGCCTGTGAATGCATAAAGCCGTTTCAGCTGTAGCTCCCAATAGAAAGTTCACTGCAGCCTCACAAGCCAGGCATTTGCTTCAGATATTCCAGTTCAATGTAACTGCAAATTAATCCATGCCACTTTGTTTTCCCCCCTTAGGTTTCATGTACATAGATGTCTTGAAGCTTCATGGCTCAGTGGAGTGGAGATTCACTGAGCTAGGCTTCCCTTCTGACCTGTCCACAGCTCTCGGAGCTCCACTTTGCAGCCAAGATCCCGCAGTGCGGCTTTGGCCACGTCATCGCAGTCCCTGTGTGTTGCACGAGCTTCTGTTATTAGGTTCTCAGCTCCCATCTCTAAGATGGGCTGAGAAAAGTCCCGGCTCCGGGAGACCAGGTTGCGGATCAGCATGCAAGCCTGTTTCTGAGGAGAGAGATAAATGAGAGATATTAGCATCTTTTGTAGGGAAATACCATCCGTGTAGGATGCTGGCACACACAAAGCAGAACTGGCTCCACATAAAGAACCTTTTCTGGGCAACTAAATGTGAGATGCTGTAGACAGCAACAAACTATTTCCTGGAAGAATAAATCCATGGACAAAAGCATGGCTGCTATTTCACATTGAAGTTTATACAACAAAACCTCCTGCTTCTGTGAGAACACCAGCAAATCTCAAACACCAGCCAGGCAATCCCAAGTATTTCTTTAAAGAACGGCTAAGACAGAATTCTCCAATTACAGCAGACTCATCTTTCCATCGCCTTGTATGCTGTTCCAGGCACCTTCCCTGGCACTTAGCTTAAACTACTCTTTCAGAAAAATATTGTCTATGGTATTTTAATACTCTGGAGAGCAGAAAAGCAGACGCAGAGCCTACCGAGACTTGCATGAAAACCAGAGGCTAACTTCTTGCCATGTAGGTGTTTTATTCGACTTTGGAGAATAGATGGCAATGTCTCTTATAGGACAGATAACATCATAGCACAGGGTGGGTCTGAAAGAGCCTATCCTTATCCTGCTCTGTGAAGGAGGGGGAGGAGAAGTAATGCCTGGAAGAGAAGCATGGCATTCCACAGTCGCTTGAATTCAGGTGGGTTTGAAACCCAAACTAAATTTTGCTCCGATCACATCACAGTGACAGATGTAGGGAGTCCTGCATTTAGATGCTGCATTCCCAACATACTCAGAACCTTTTGGTATTTGTCAAGTAAAGGACAAAATCCCAATGAAGTGGTGAGCACAGCCAACACCAATCCTGAATAAATAATCAAGTGCTCTGAGGCAAATACCTGTACAGCCACTTCTCGTGGGTGTGCTTTCATGGCCTGAAGAGCTGCCAACGCCCCTCCACCTTCCATGATGACATTACAGTTCTCGGGTTTGCGCAAAGCCAACATGCACAAGGCTGCACAACCTTGCTCACAGATCTGTAAGATAAAGAGACACTCACTGGCTGAAAATGTTGCTTTAAGGAAAAAAGTGTTTGGAGTTTGTTTCCTTTTTTGGCAGTTTTTAAATTTTTTTTTTTTTTTTTTTTTTTTAAGTTTCTTCCACTGAAACATCCTGCTTCTCTGGCATGTAAAGCAAGTTTTACACCCAGAGGTGCAAAACACTGTATCCAGTATCCATCTGATTCAGGAACAAGAAAAAACCCTAATATATTAGAGTGGACATACCTTTACATTTACACAAATATTTGCCAAAGCATGCACTTAACCACTCCACAACAACAGGATGTTAAAGGTTTAATCAATTGCTCAGTTGCAATCATTTAATAACTATACTTAGAATGTATCTGCTCTCAGCATAAGTGGTTTATCACAAGTCAGAGCAACGCTGTGGGTTGCTCCCTACACAAGACAGGTTACACTGCTACATTATGCAGCCCAAACCTGATCTCCATTCCCAGCCCCGGAGGGACTCCATTAACCACTTAGGTGCGTACCTGAGGGTTGGCAAGGTGATGGCTTATAGCGAGTACAATGAGGTCTGTTCCCCCAGCATTAACGATGGCATCTTTCACGTCGTCATTACCTGCAACTGCTCGGATGGCGCTCAGCACCTGCTTTACCACGTCCTGCGTTCATCAAGAAAAAACAGCTCAGAAAGCTGCAGAGAGAGTTTTACAGGCTTTTGAAAACCAACCAGAACATCCCCCAGCAACTCCATTCAAACAGTTGTCATTCCCAGTTTTGAACAGCAACGCTATTCTCAGTCACTCACACCTCAGATACACTTTCTTGCTAGAGTAAGAAGGAACCTTGTTAAGTTTGGCAGAGGTTTTCAACGAAGCTTAAAGAATCAAACATCAGCCCTCTGGGACTTGAACATCTAAATCCTCTTGAATCTCTTCTAGCTAGATTGATGGAAAACCAGAAGCTCAGCTTTTCTGGGAGCAAGCACAGTTCTGCTCATGGAGCGTGGAGGACAGAGGAAGTAACTATGAGCAAGGGGCTCAGAATTACTGTGTTCTTGTCTGACAGGGCACATGTGACCTAGTTCCATATATAAGGCTGTAAATAGGGATCAATGGTTGGGGTTTCAACCCTAACTGCACCTAAAATAATGCATAGTCTAAGGCCCATTCACAGCCAGGACTTTAAACTAAAAAGCACACCCTGCTGCATTACTTCCACTCCCAAGTACACTTTACATTGCTCACCGGATGGTCAATGCAGTCAGCCAGTAGAGCCACCATAAAATTTAAGCCACCAAGATCCACAATTTCTTGACAGAATTCATTCCTGACAGAGAGGCGAGAAAGGGTGGCACACAGTTCACTGAGAACACTGGAGTTATCTGTGAATGCTGCAGAGGAGAGATGATGAATGGAGTAACTATGAGCAAGGAGGGATGCCACAGAATCAAGGTGTTTCACTTTGCTTCATTAAAGAAACACAGGAAACAGTGTATTTCACTTTCTATATTAAAACAGCACAGATGACGTCCTGTTCACTCTGTGTCTAGACTGAGACAGAACATCTTTTCTTGGCAAGAATGCAGCACCTCAGCAGGGATAATGTGCCTGTAAACCTGCACTGGGCTGTAAAACACTTCCTAGACAGACTGACAAAGAGCTCTGATAACTGCCACCTTGGTGCTGCTGCTAGCCTCTGGAGAGGACATATTATTTTTCTCTCTCGGGGCATATTTCATCAAAAGAATTAAACATCACTTTAGTGGGAAATTTCTGAATCATCTCTGGGGACCTTCAAGTTACGACAAAGCGCAGTTTTGAGATAAGAAAGCACAGATGATTCAAAATTAGGATCAACAATCATGGGGTTAATTTTACCTTTTGCAGCTTCGATGAGGACTCTCAACCCATCATTTTCCAACACAATCATTTTAGCATGATCATGAGCATGACCAAAGGGCACACGGATGTCATCATCAAACGTCATGACCCTGAGCGCTGAGGAGGCCGTTCGGACGACATCAGCACTGTCTCCGTGCTGGACTATAGCTCCAGTCAGAAGTGGCAGAACCCCACCTTTCACAAAGTCCTGACGATTCTGCTCATGTTTCAGACAGGCATGCCGAATGCATCGGATCCCAGCCAGCGTCATTTCCGCATCCTCCCTATATTCCTTCAGAGTGTGTAGCAGTAGATCCTGGCCAGCGGAGTCAAGTAGGTCTGGCTGCCCATCCAAGATGGCAGACAGTGTATAAAAGGCTTTCAGCATTAAATTTCTGTCTCCTGAAGCCAACTGGCAGGCAGAGAATACCACAGAATAGGCACCATTCTGCCCAGCCAGGTAGCGGAAAGACAGCTGTTCTTTGCACTGATCAGTGAAGACCACTAGCTGCTCAGCCATCTCAGCAAGATCAGAGTCAGCAACAGCTCTCCCAAGGGAATCTAAAGTCTAAAGAAGAGAACAATAGTTAATTTTTGATCTGAACTGTGAAGGAACAAGAGCAGTTCTTTATAGTCATTCAAATTTGTTTATTTATAATAATAGTATTCTCTTAAATTTAGAATTAGTTTGACATATCTAAGAAATGGCTGTCTTGAAGAGCAGCATTTTGTCTTCACGCACAGAACCCTTAGAGGAATCTGTACTTCTGCCATCACTGTCAAGCCATCACTGCATGCCAGTCTGACCACCAGTGGGTGAACTGGGTCCAACCAGCACAATTCACAGGGGTCAGTGGTGCGCATGAATATTTTTAGTCTTGCTGGAGAGGGATCATATTCAATCTTTTCACCTACCCTCAGAAGAGCTAGCTAACAGCTACCACTTAGGTAACTTGTATTTCTTTCATTAAAGTTCTTCTGTGCTTTAACTTTACCTGACAACAGGAGAATCTGCTTCTAAGTTATGAAAGGCAGCCTCTCCATTTCCTAGGCAAGAAATGCTGGCATTTTGCTCTTTACACAGATACTTCCACTGAAAAGTGCAAGCTAGCTCTTTGAACTTTTATATTATTCCTAGTTTGCAGAATAGATGGGATTAAGTGCTTGTCGAAGAGCTCACAGAGAAATGGGACAAAGGCAGAAGTAGAAGGTATGTCTCATTATTCTCAGTCTATTACTTAAACTATTATATAACCCTGATCCTTAGAAGACAACATAAATTTGTGCTCCTACCAGCAAAATTTCATGCTTTTGCTTTTGACCATTTTCAGAGGCAGGCTGCCGCACAGCTTTCACAATATTGCTTAGGTCAACACCTAAAAGGAAAAACAAAAACAAGATTAGTATTAGTTACAGGAGCTTGGGTAAAATTTGTCAAGTTAACCACAGTCAACAAAGATGAACTTATTGTAAAGCATGGATCAATGTACAAAGATGCTGAAATGCTGCTGAAGTTCTAACTATAATGGTCAAATATGTCCTGGAACAAAGCTTCAATTCTAGCTAAATGTCAACTGGGAAAAAGAAAAGAGTTTAATTTCATTGACAAAATTGCACCCTGCAGTTTCACTCAAAGCAGTTTTTCAGTCATAATTACTCCATGAAACTAGGTTAGCATTAATAGCGTCTGTGTTCCACTTCGCAAAGGCTTCTTTTCAACACTGGATGATCGATCTTTGCATGCAGGTTCTCTTCAATTTTAAGACATGTAAAAACTCAGTCTGTAATAATCTGAACTGCAAAAGCAGATGAATTTACAATACCTTGGGACTCAAACTGCTGCACAGCTTCTCTCACAGCCTCTTCTGGATCCATTTCAAATTCTGTAATGTTTTCTTGCACTGCATCATCAAATGTTTCCTGCGCAATCTGTTTCGATCCCATTTTACTCGAATGGGATAAGCCGCCTCCTTGTCCTGTCATTAAAATAGTCCACAACTAGTTTTGGTGCAAAACCTTCTGAAGTTAATCAAAAACAAAGGAAGTGATCTGCTCTTTTTCAAAACAAAAGCACAGAACTCAAAACCAAAAATATATGGTCAAAGGGATGACTTTTTTTTTAACGGGCTGAAACATAGCAATTAAAAGCAATAAAAAGGAATGTCAGAGGCCCAGGATTTGGATCTGGAACCCGCTATTGCTCTGCTGCGGATGGGTGTGTTACCGTGACACGGCTCTCACTGCACCTCGCCTGCCACAGGCGCACGGTGGGCAGCCTGCCCGGACACACACGGTCCCGAGACCCCACACGCTCGAGGGCTAACACAGCCCAGAGCCCCTCGGCCTGTCTCTGTCCCCGTTCCCGCAGCGGGGCCCGGTTCATCCCCCTCAGCAGGCCCAGCCATCCAGCTGGATCCCGCCCCTCAGTCTTTCGGCGAGGCCTGCCCCGGAAAGGGCCCAGGAACCGGGAGCAGGTACTGAGGGAGCTCCCAGGCGCACAAAGGGCCTCGATTCTCCTCACAACCCACCTCAGTCCCTCGCCGCCCGCAGCGCCGCTCCCTGAGGGGCTCCTCCCGCCTGACAAAGAGCAACGCGCTGAGAGGACCGGCCCTACTCGGCCACCGTACACAGCCGGCGGGCCCCGCTTCCCTCCGGCCCCGCCCACCGCTGGCTCAGCCTTCTCAGTGCGCATGCACCAAGGCAAAAAGTCACGCCCATCCCCCTCACAAGAAAAAAAAAACCGCGGCGCGAAAAAGAACCCGGGCTGTCCAAGTGCGCATGCGCCCTCCCCGTAACGTGCTCCCTCGCCACACACATGCGGTCGGCCGCCCTTTCTGCGCATGCGCACTATGCGCGAGCCCGCTCAGGCCCGCCTTGCGGGGCAGCGGCCAGCCCGCCGCCCCGCCGCCAAAGCGGGAGACTGCGGGCCGCCCCCGCCCGTTCCCCTTCTGCTCACCGCGCCGCCCGACCGGGGACCGCGCCCTCACCGTTAGTACCGACCCACGCCAAAGCAGCGCTACCCCGAAAACCACCCGCCTTGAAAGGGATGAGGAGGCCGCGACGCAGGACCCCGCACTGCGCAGGCGCGGCGAGGGAGGAGGAAGGAGGGGCGGAGCGAACAGCGTCCCGCGGGGGCTGCTGGGAGATTCCCGTGTGGCGGGGAGGCTGCGGGACCGGGGCGGCAGAGCACCGCCTCGGTGAGGGCGGGGCCGGCTCCCGGCGGGGGGCGGGCCGCGGGGCGGGGCGGGGGCGGCTCCTCCTCCTCCTCCTCTTCCTCCTGCTCCCCCCCCGTCCCCCCCCATCCCTTCTCCCGGTGCCTGCGCGGGGCGGTGGGCAGCAAGCTGCCGGGGGGCGCCCGGTGAGGGGTGGGAAGCCCTCACGGGTGGCGGTTTGCCCTCACGGGTGGGGGTTTTCCCTCACGTTGCGTTTTACCTCAGGCTGGGCCGCCCCGGGTGGGGAACCGGGGGAGGGAGGGAGGAGCTGTGTCCGTATCCCCACGCTGTGTTCACGGGAATCCACCCGGGCCGAGCCTAGCGGCAGGGGGGTGTGGGGGGCGCCGGTGGCGTTAGGGGCTTGGCAGCGGGAGGACCTTTCCCAGCGTCCGTGCCCCGGTCAGGGACGGTATTGTGCTGTTTTGCTACAGGATAAAAATGGCCTCTCGGCGGATCACACGGGAGACGTTTGATGCTGTAGTGCAGGACAAAGTTAAAAGGTATCGCATGGACCGGAGTGATGCTATAGAGGACACCATCCATCATTTTAAAGGTAATGAAACCCGGGCATGGCGTGCCGTGGATTACGCCAGCTATTCTGGTAACAGCTATGTCAGATTTCTTGCCTTCCATTTACGTATATTTGCTGAAAACGTGGACTTGTGCTGGTGTTTTTCCACATCCATTGTTATTTAAGAGGCTAATAGCTTGGTATGACTGACAGCGTTTCAATCTGGAATGCAAATTCCAGGCAAAAAAACGAATTTTAAACAAAGGAATTCTGTTCAGGCTGCATCAGAGTGTGGGTCCAATTTCAGGGAGGTCTCCAGAGGCATCGCTGCAGGATGGAATTCTGTTGATGTCTGATAAGTTAAATAAATGTAGGAGTCCATTTGAAGCCTTTGGGTCTTTGCACTTCATGTTATTTTTGGAGAAAAAGCTAAAAGCAGGACATTAATCTCAGGAGTGTATACAAAACATGATCTGCAAATTCTTTTATCTTTTAAACATGGTATTTAAAATGTCTAGAAAAATAACCTGCATTACATTCATAGGAAATTGAGAGTTTTAAAATGAGACCTTTTCTGTTTTCTTAAAGTTGTATAAGCTCTGAAAAATCAATTATTTTAAATACTTAATTTATTCAAGTATTCTTTACTTTCTGAATGTAATTACTGGAATTAGGGAATAGGGATTCTTGGATACTTTGCAGGAAATTCTAGTATTTCTGACTTTAATGTTATCTTAGATAATTGTGTAGGAGTTTGTAGAAAATATGAACTTCTGTTCAACTGTGGAATTCCGATATTCAGTGTGGAAACAGAAAGTGCATACTTTTGGTATTTTTACATCTGAGAAATCTGAGTAGGGGCATTATGAGCACAACATTAGCATATTCCTAGACTGAGAAAGTTGTGAGCGAGTAGAAAATGGGGTTTATAGCAGAACTTGCGTTTCAGCTTTAGCGAAAGTAGAGTTTTTAATAAATTGTTTCGTCATGTGTGTTTAGGCATTGTTAATCATTTGTTGCTTTTTGCTTATTATGAATTATTCAACGTACGTAAGAACGCAGATGGGAATATCCTAAAGTTAGATATGTGTACTGTTCTTCAGAAGTTTTGATGTGTTGACTCTTGTAAGTGTCTAAATGTGTTTATGAAATTTTTTTCTTAATACTACTTGCAGTACATTGGTGTATTTATGTTTTTATCATTACAGCTCATTCAAGACCAGTCCCAAGACCAAGATATGAAGACAGTTTCCATGATGATGGAAGATACGCTCATGATAACGCCCAGCACCACCCACATGATGACTGGACTGAAGACCCTAGAGACGACTATCCAGGACCTTCTTATAGATCTGCTAGTCCTCTGATAAGGAAAGATAACTATTACCATGAACAGTACGGCCGCCCGGCATCTCGTGACCGGGAATTTGGCCGCCCGGCATCTCGTGACCGGGAGTATGGGCGTCCAGCTTCGCATGACCGGGAGTATGGGCGTCCAGCTTCGCATGACCGGGAGTATGGGCGTCCAGCATCTCGCGATCGGGAGTATGGGCGTCCAGCTTCCCATGACCGGGAATATGGACGCCCAACTTCCCATGACCGGGAGTATGGGGGCCTGGCTTCTCATGATCAGGACTATGGCCCTCCTGACTCTTGGGAATCCACCGGACCACATGAAACTGATTTTAGTTCTTCAGATATTTTAGGTGATTTTAGATCACCAGGACTCATGGAAGATGAATATGGCAACATGGAGAATCAGGAGTATGATGTAGACTTTGGAATTCAATCTGACAGTGAGTTCCGACCCCCAGTACGGAGGGGCAACATTGGCAGGGGAAGAGTTCTGCGAGGAAAGCGTATTACAAGGGGTGCTGTTAAAACTAAAGTATTCAAAGGAGATATCAAAACTCCCCTAAAGAAATGGAACACTAAAAAACTGCCACCAGGCCCTGATCAGAAGCCAGCTATGCAACCTGATCAAATGCCAGAAACTGCTGAACGACCTAACCAGAGGCCAGTGACCATCCAGCGGCCTAATCAAAAGTTGCCTCCACGACCTAATCAGAGGCCAACTGTAACAACCCAGAGACCTATTCTCAGGCTCCCAAAGCCTGCGCATGTTTTCAGAAATCTCAATTTTGACCTTGTGGACAAATCAGACATTTTTTCAACGTTTGGAATAGAAATTATAAAATGGGCTGGGTTTCATGCAATAAAAAATGATGCAGAATTTTCCCGGCTCTTTGGAGCTCTCTTTGAGCTAGAGACAGAAACCTGTGCAAAAATGCTTGCCTCATTCAAATGCTCCTTAAAGCCAGAACACAGAGATTATTGTTTCTTTACTATCAAGAGTTTACAACATGCTGCTCTGAAAACTCCCAAAGTGGACAATGAGTTTTTAAATATGCTATTGGACAAGGGTGCTGTGAAAACAAAGAACTGCTTCTTTGAAATTATAAAACCTTTTGATAAATACATAATGAGGCTACAAGACCGCCTCCTTAAAGGTGTTACACCGCTGCTTATGGCCTGCAATGCTTACGAATTAAGCATTAAGACGAGTGGTTTTGGTAATCCAAGAGAAATGGCAAGTGCTTTTGAGACCACTGTTTCTCTTTGTCGTAAGTCTTTAGCACTTCTGGGTCAGACCTTCGCACTAGCATCTGTTTTCAGGCAAGAGAAAATACTTGAAGCTGTAGGGCTCCAGGAAATGGCTCCAGCACCAACACTATTCCCAAACTTTGATGATTCAACGTTGTTTGGAAGAGAGTACATTGAAAACTTGAAGGCTTGGTTGGAGAAAAGTGGATATCCAATTCAGATGAAAAAAACTGAACCAGAATCCACTATACAGCTTAAAAAACCCTCTCCTGACACAAAAGTTAAAAGTGAGTGAACTGTTGTAAAATACTTTGCAGTATATAATTTCTTTATTTGTTGCTAGCATTTCATCTTAATTTTTATGGTTTTGTTAGCTCAGGAATTCCTAGTTCTGGGAATTCCATGAAAATCCCTGGCAGTGCTGAGGCAGGTAGTAAATACCATCTGTTGTAGCAATCACTTTCACCTTTGTGGATGAAAGCGTGTCTCCTTCCTCCCCTCTCCTGCATGTGCTCATACTTTAAATCTAGGTTTTTCACCTTGTGCCCTTGGCTGCTTCAGCTGCCCTACCCTCCAGCTTCACAACTGCGAGGTAGGGAGGCCAGGACCACAGCTGTAACTGGCTACATCATGGAGCATATAAAACACATAAGCAAAGTTGGAGATGTTACCGCTACCACTTTTATCAAATGCAAGCATATTTCTTTGAAGTTGTGTATGTACAACCATCTAGAGGAATACTATCTCCTCTACTGTATTAGGCCATCTAGTTCATCCTCACTAAAGCATTCTTGCTCATTACTATACTCATCTGTTTTTCCCTAATTGAACTTCAGATATTTTCGCAGGGAGGTCTTGCAGCACCAACACTGAATGGCTAATAATTTGGAACCTACCCCTTCAGAGTAGTGTTCAAATATACTTATTTTGCACAAAATCCTTTTGGTGCAATAAGCGCTTGCCTTTTAAAGGATGGCTTAACTTGCCCAGGATGACAAAGGATGTTTCTTAAACCACAGCACTTCTCATAATAAACTGTTCTAGAATCTTGAGTTGAGAAAACAGTCAGAAAGTTTCCGAGGTTTCCATAATTTACTGTAGTATTAAGTGCAGCCTTTTTTGTATTAATATGTTGAAAAATTGCAAATGTCCGTGTCTCAAAGAATAAAAAAGATGACACATTGATATTCTCTTGATGAGAATAATATAATGACTGCATTTTATTTCTTCCTACAGCCCCACAGCGAGCTGATCGGAAAGTTGTAGATACAATTGAGCAGCTAGTGAATAGCATTGTTTCAGGAACCTTGTCTGCCAAAGAGAGAAACGCTCAAAAGAACTGTCCTGAATATTGGTAGGTTTGTTTGAACAGCATGTTGTAATACTACTTTCTGATGAAGATATTTGGAATATATTTAATTAAATTCAGTATTTCATTCAACGGGAAGATCAAAGCCTATTGTATATTTAATCAGACTTTTTGAAAATGTTTCCTAAGCTAATTATACTTCCTTATATCCCTGGAAATTGTACTGTTGCTTCTGTTCTGTCTAGTAGATCATGTTCCTTTTGATCTGTCAATAATGACTGTATGTCAATCCAAATACAAGATGTTAAAAGCAATATACATCTACGAGATGAAAATAGTAAGCAGATGTAGTTAATATAAACATACAGTAGGGTAACAGACTTACGGATCTAGTGTTCTATGGATAATGTTGGAAAAGGAAAGCTGAGACACTTCCTAGTGTAATGATCTTTTAATATGACAGTATCTCTTCATGTGTGAATTGCAGCATAGCTGATTAATTACTAGCCAAATGATTTATGTCAAAACCCTCCATCATTTATTTGCTTGGCATACTTACTGCTTTAGAAGTGGAGTTGGCTGTTAGTCCTGAGAAAAACCTATGCAGGCTAACGTTAATGTAGCAACTTGTGTATGCCCCTGGAAAAAAGGATCAATTGCTACTGAGTTTCTGATCTGAGACTTTGAGATTAGTTGTGCTTTCAGCTTAGGCTTTCATTTTATTTATATGATTTTATTTAGGTTCTTGTCTGATGAAGATAGTCTAGAATACAAGTATTACAGACTGAAGTTATCAGAGATGCAAAGGCGGACATCATCTGGAAAGGAAGCGGGTGGTGAGGGCAGAACACTAGAAGAATCTGCAACAGAATCAGTCAGGGCCATGTTGTATGCCAGGAAAGTCGCAAGTATTAAGAGAAGGCTATTTAAAAGAAAAAGGCTTGGAATTATCGCACAACATGGTATTCGAGGAAGGAAGGTGAGGAGAGCAACCATAGGGACACAGACGGTGCTTTCAGCTGGTACAGTGCTGAAGCACCAAGACAAGCATCTTCAAGGTTCAGTCCAGTCAAAGCCTTCTGTATCAGAAACCAGCCTGTCTGAGAAGAATGCTTCCCTTGATACAACCTCATCCTCACAATGTGCCACAAGTTCAGAGGTCTCTCTGCCAGCAGAAGAAAGGGCAGATTCTGAGGATTTATTAGCACCACCTGAACTTTTCCCACCATTGTCCTCTCAGTTCCCTGATGGTAAGTGAAGATTCAAGATTAGATTTTAAATTGTAAATTATATGAGAAAAGAATTGCATAGAATGTTCTGCTGGAAATTCTAAAAAACATTTAGCTAAAGTAGATAGTTCTCAACTGTATTGACCTTACAGTGATGCGGATTTTGTATGAAGCTACAGATAACGAGCATTCTGTTTCTTGCAGTGGATGCTAAAACAATGGAAACTGCTGAGAAGCTTGCCAAGTTTGTTGCTCAGGTAGGACCAGAAATTGAGCAGTTCAGCATAGACAACAGTGCAGATAACCCAGACCTTTGGTGAGTAACCTACACATTTGTCTGTGTAAATGGGCTGATAAGAAAAATCAGAATGCATCTAAACAATTACAAAGGAGATACTTCCTCTTATTGTTTGTTGAGATGTATGCTTTTATTCAATGTGTTTAGGAACAGAGGATTTTGAGCAATACTCCCTGTTGTCCTGCTCAGCACTTCCATTAATGGTGAATATCTGAAATACCTAAGAAAGAAAAACACTTCTCCCAAATGCATACATGCACTGATATGTATTTTTTTCTTTTATATTCTAAGTAATCAGCTTGCATCTTGAAATAGTGTTCTGCCAAATTATTTTCAACCTTCGGGCTTTTTTGTTGTTGTTTTTAAGTGAGGCTTTGATTACAATGGCCTAAGTGCTCTAGTGTAAATTAGCACAGATTTTTGGTCATACTGTGCCAACAAAAATGGAGCCCTATATACACCTATTTCCACATAGACTGCATGACTGAAATTTGGAAGACCTGAATTCCCTTCTAAGGTCTGCTGTTTGCCTTCTGGGTCATCCAGGGCTAGCATCTTGTCTTAGATTCTCCATCTATATAATGAAGATAATTGTACTGACTTCTTTATAACACAGTCTGAGAAGTACTGATAAAAAGCAGTCTGTAAGAATTGAGGAGAATGATTGCTGTTCTTAGTACATGTTGTTGGGGAATCCTACAGTTCTACAAAAACACACCTGGAATGACCACTCAAAAAATTAATAAGAGATTTATTTCTACTGTCTTGCTTCATGCTGGCTAAAGAAAATCTCTCTCTGATATTATTTTCACTATAATTTTTGCTCAGGTTTCTACAGGATCGAAACAGTTCGGCTTTCAAATTTTACCGAATGAAAGTTTATGAATTATGTCCATCTATTAACTTCAATGCTGTGTCAGAAGCAACTGATGCTGGGGAAAGTGCTAAACCTGAAGACAGAAATTTGGATATTTCAGAAGAGGAAGAGGATGAAGAAGAAGAAGAGGAAGAAAATGAAGAGGAAGCTGAGTTTGAGGAGGATATCTCCCAGCCTTTGGAAGAAATGGAAATGGAGCAAGCAGAGGAGGGAGAAGAGGATGACATGTCAGCAGGTAGAAGTGTGGAAAACCTAGTTGAAGAGATGATTTCCAAAACGGGAGAGGAAATTTCAACAGGTGAAATACAGCTAGCCACCTCATCTGATGGTGCTATACCAAATCTGTCGACACAGGCATCAACTCCTGCTCCTGGTACCCTATTTCCTCGCAAACGAATCAGCAGCAAGTCTCTGAAAGTTGGTATGATTCCGGCATCTAAAAGGATTTGCCTCATAGAAGAACCAAAAGGTGAGTGTTACTTAAAAGATATTTTGTAGGTATTGGTACAGAACTCCTGATTTTTATGTGCTTTGTTACTGACTACTATTAGCTCAAAGAATTACATTTCTTTAACAAAAAAATGAATACAGTGTTCACTTTAAAAGTTCATTCAACTGACAAAGGAGAATCTGAATAAATTGTGTAACAGTTTTTGTATTATAGTGCAATAGCAAAGTTTGTGTCAAACATCATTCCTGAAATATTCTCTAAGTATATGTGAATGTTATCGTCTCTCTGCTGCTTAAAAAACTAACGTAGTAGTTTTTGCAGGGTTTATTTTCAGTGTATGGAAGGGTTAACAGACTTAAGTATAGCACTGAACATATTTTGAGTGTTTGACTAAATATATTTAGACTTTGGATTGGCCTGTCAAATTTTGTCACTATGGCCACAGTGGGGGTGGGTCATGATATTCTAAGAATTGAGAGATAAGTAGCTTAAAACTGATTCTATGCGCTCTGCAGCTATTTTAACAAATGTGTTGTCTTTGCATAATGATTTTTATTGGTGAAGGTTGTCATTTGTGATATGAAAATGATATATAATAACCTCATTTAAGTCCAGTCTGAATTTTCTATCAGAGTATTACAGAAGCTCAGGGAAATGAAAGATCTTACAGGATATCATCCATCAGCGTATTGCTGGCATGATATGTCCAAAACTAAATACGTGCATGTACTAAGTACCTTTTTTATTGTGGAGGGGAAAAAAAGGTCTTATCGTTTCTTTTCCTTTTTTTTTTTTTTTATTCTGAACTTTCTTGTTGGTTCTGGGTTTAGACCAAGGCATTGAGTTAGAGTCCCACTTGACGTGTACTTTTGGAGTTCTGTATTAAAATTGTTTTTCTTTACAGCTGAATTTTGTCTCTTATTTGACTTGCAGTGCATGAACCTGTAAGAATTGCTTATGATAGGCCTCGTGGTTGCCCAGTTACAAAGAAGAAGAAGGTAAAGAACTCTTCTAGTTTGCCATTGCATTCTGAGAATCAACTGTCTTTTACAAGAGACAGCCTCTGAAAATGTGTCATTGTCATAAAATTGAATTAAGACCTGAAGAGCCTGATCCTGAAAAAGACTGGACTAAATCTGAGGAGAGCCATGGCTTCTGTTGTCTTTTAACTACCTGTGTCAAAATTAAACATTTTGTGATTACAACACTATTGAAAAGCTGTGTGTTAATCTTGTCTTCTATTTAAAAAAAATAATAATAATAATGCAATCAGTGCATTGCTGTCTGGAAAATACATTGTAATTATCCAGAACTGGTGAGATGTTATTTAACTGCTTCTGTATTTGTAATAGGGATTCAGTCATCAGATCATTCAATATTCTTTATTAAAAAACATAACTACCTTTTAAAATATGAAGGAGTATTGTTTGCTATTTTAATAATAATTAAACAGTTTGAGAACCTGAATTTTTTTTTTTTAACTGGCAAGGCAGGTATTTACTCTTTGATAGACTTTTTCTGTGTAGCTAGTGAAGTGCTGCTTAGAAGATATTTCTGTATATCCAGAAATTCAAACACATTTAGTTTAGGGGGAGGCAGGATTTGAGGGATTTTTAATACATGATCTCCCTTTGTTTTTCTGTTTTTTCCTCTTCATAGAAACCAAAAGATTTAGAATTTTCACACAAGAAACTGACAAACAGGAATGTGGGCTTCCAGATGCTTCAGAAGATGGGCTGGCAAGAAGGACATGGCCTTGGTACACGAGGAAAAGGAATCCGAGAGCCTGTAAAAGTGTATGTAATGGGAACGCGCTACAGAAATTTCACAGCTCTGGAAAAGGCTGGGATTCTAGTAGTAACTATGTTTATCTAATCCATCTAGATGTGGCCAGTTCAGTTTTGCTTCCTTCCTGACGCTGGTCTCTGACCTCACTAAAGTTGAGCGTGGAGACTTAGCGCATGTTTCTGGCCAGGCTGGGCAAAGTCTGGTCTGGAAGGTGGCTGTTTCTTGCCATCCAGTTTGCCATTACTGAAGGCTGCAGCATGAATGCTGCAGTGTGCAGACACCTTCTAGAGATATATGGGTGCCCCTGTTCTTCAGGAGGTGTTTTTTGTTGTTTGGTGTATTTAGGTTTGTTTTAACACATAGTAGTATCCTAGGGTTCTCCTTGCTACCTCACCAGGCACATAATGTATAAATAGACTTCAGGAATGTCATACACAGTACTCCTAGGTTTAGGCAACAAATTTTATTTTCACTCTAATTATGTGATTCATTCCACTGCATACTGAAAGAGGTAAGTGCTTCTGCCAGAAGGTAAGTGTGATTTTTCCTTTGAAATATACTTTTGGTTTTGAATCTTCATTTTGTCTTTTAAAGTTGCTGTACCCAGCATCCACTGCTGCTGCCAGCACAGAGAATGGATAATACCTCCCTCAACTCCCTGACTGAATAAGGAAGCAGAAACTATTTCTTTCTCTCTGAGCCCATATAACAAGCTTTCTAGTCCACACATGTAGTCTGTGGTTTAACAGTCTTCTTTCTCCAGGGATTTCTATGTTCTCTTCGTCCCTTGGACAGTACTGGTCATTTTAGTCGGTGGGATACTTAAGGTTTTTTGCTTTCTCTTTCCCTTAGTGCTCCCTGTGGTCCAGTGGTCATCACTGTATTTTCTGTATTTCTTTCTTCAGCAGCAAATGGACAATGAGAAAGCAGCTTGCTTCGCCTGCAGCCTGTTCACCAGTGTTAGAACTTGGTTCTTAGCCTCAAAAATTGTTGGGAACAAATATATGAGTAATTTTTTTGTTTCTGTAGCTCCTGGCACAAGTTTCGCTGCACAGCTAATCATGAACTATTTAATTGTATCTGGTCTGACAGTGAGCCCACCACATTCTAAAAGTTTCTGGCCATCTTTAAGAACTGCATTTTTTAGTATGCAAAAATAACATTTTTTTCAGCTTAAGTCCATTGCCATGTCATTCTTGTAGAGACACCTGCAAAGGGTAGTGAAGAACTGCTTTCTGTACCTCTTACAAAACTTGTTGACCTTTTCTGTAATGTAGAGAGAACTCCGTATTATTATTTTCGTGGTGTGCACCTCTCCTTAATTTCCTATTAAAGTCATTCTTTGGAAAATACTTTGGGACAATCTCAGTGAGGATGAAAGCAGTGCAATTTAACATTTTGCTCTCTCTTGTTAGTTGCTTTGATACAGTGTGTGTTGGGTTTTTTTCACTTGGTAATCTGTAACCTCTACTCTTTCTTCCCGTTTTGAAAACTACCAGCTCTTCTATTGATGACTTGTGTAAAAGTCCATGTGCTGTGTAATCTCATTCTCTGAGCAAAAGGGGATGAATTAATAATTGGAGAGACTCCAACTCTAGTGTAGAGCATACCTTGATCATTATGTAACATTGACATCTAAACCTGGTGTATTCAGGCACATCAGTTGTTACACAAAGAAACTTGAGGCCCTTTTTTGTTAGGAAAGCTTAAAGCTTGTCGTTGGCTATGAGAGCAAGTCATATTTGCAGGTTTGAGGAGATTTTTATTTACATTGGTGTAAACGATACATTAATTGAATGGTGACTCCTCATGGAAATGATAGGTCCAGAAATTTTAAATGGAGTTTCATGTTAGTCTTGTGAGCTGTTCCCTGTCTTGAGAACTAATTTGTCACAGCTATGGGTCTGACCAATTTTACAGTTCAAGTTTAAAAAAAACAGCAAAAAAACCCCAACCAAAACCCACACTCAAAGGCAGAACATTGTTATGGGATAGACCTTCCTCTGAGTAATTATGTCATGTCTTTGATTAGGTTTTCTTATTCTGAAAGTAATCTAGAAGAGGAACTGTGATATGAAGAGAAAAAAAAAATCTGTTCTTTCTGTTTGGAAGTATGAAGCAGCCATTGTGTAATGGAAACAGCAAATATAGTGAGCCTGCTTCAAACAGGTCATACTACAAAAGATGAAAAAAAGCAAAGTTTTGGGAGGTCTTTTAGGTGACTTTACTTTTAACCGTAATTTAAAACATAACTTCACTTGATCATACAGCTGCCAAGTCAGACTCTGTACCATTCAGAAGAAAAAACAGCACCCAGGGTTTCTACTGTGGACTGTAAAGTTGAATTTGCTTTTTAGAGTCTGTGAATATTCTTTTAGAATTGCACAACAATCTACTTGGCTTAAGTGGACCTATTATTACAGAAATTGGTTAAGAATAATTTTTCTTTTTTCTACTTAAGGTCCTCAGATTTTACCCTGTAGCACAGCAATCCCAATTTCAGTACATGGGGCAATCTAAATTTTCTTACCTCACGTAATGAAATCTTTAACAGATAATACTAATGTAACTGACCTGGAGGATAAAACTGGCACAGAGGATCATTCCTGTGGCTGAGGTTTCATTAATCTTAGCTTTGTAATGTCTACATTCTAGGCACATAGCCTGGAGAAAGAGATGGGGTTTAATTATTTGTATCTCTGCATTCTTGTGGGTCATCCTCTCCATCTATTTCCAGGGCAGAAAGTTGTTTTGATATTGTTGAGGCCTGTCTGCTTCTGTTGGCATGTTTGGATGAAGAGAGAGGAGTTAATGACTCGTTTTTCTTGGAAGGGCAGGAGCTCCAGGTTTTGTCTATGATCCGTGTCCTAGAAGACTTCAGCTTGCTTTGGGTGCTAGAAATTTTAAACAAGCAGCTTAATGTTCCCTTGGTAAAAATTTCATCTTTTATCCAGAGTTATGTGGTGTTTTCTACTCATTCCTCAAAGTGTCTGACTTGTGTCATTTTTGAAATTTAAGAAACAAGGCAGTTTTTGGCATCTTTTCAACAGAAGATCCTATCTACCATGAATAGAGTGGTTAAAGTTCATGTAAGAATTTGATCTGCTAGATGACTATATCTTCGCTGCTCCCTTAATATCATAGGAGCATTTTCTGCTGGTGGGTATTTGCATGTGTAATGGGAGGTGGGAATTGTTTTATAGTTGATCTGGTATGCCAGGTACCAAGCCTCCACTCCCCTTCTCCCCCAAATGAAGCAGAATTACTTTCCACTTGAATTGTGTCTATGTTGGAAGCTATTGTTTAGATCTCTTATGCACATCATCAAATGTAACAGAAACAGAGTGTTCTAACTATTCATTTTACTCCCTAGGGGTGCTACCTCTGCAGGGGAGGGCTTGGGTGTTGCAGGGGAAGAAAATAAAGAAGATGCATTTGATGTTTTCCGTCAAAGAATGATACAAATGTACAGGCAGAAAAGAGCAAGTAAATAGGTATGTGCAATGGACACGTCTGGTTTATGAATTCCTGCAAACATTAAAATACTAGGGCTTTTAAAATCTTCCTTTATGAAGAAAACGTTGCTGTTTCCATGAGTATATCTGGCTTCTTAACATTTTATGAGAATCCAGACCTACGTTGAATTGCTTTGAACTGCTGAATTACCCCAAATCTTACTTTCTAGGTTTGACATAAGAGACTCGCTCGCTAGAAAGTGCACGGATATGCAAAGGCTGCTGTGTGAAAGATCTTCAGCAGAGTATGCCAGTATGAAGAACACTTTGTTCATTAGTAGTGGACTTGAATACTAGTGTATTAAAACATTTTCCAAGATTAAAGTTAGTCTTGTATTTAATTGTGCAAGCTAACAACTTGGATGTCATCTTCTGAGGAAGAAACAACTGATTTTGTTCTCGGAAGTGCCTGTTTACCTCTCTCTTTGGCCAAGTTTGCCTGTTTTGTGATGAGATGGCTTACCAAAAAACGGCATAAGCAACATGAAAAATCTGACTAACCTGGTTTGGCTCTGATCCTTTCTGAAGCCAAGAACCTTCTCAAATTCAGATCTTGCAAGGCAGTTCAGATTTTATTATACTACATTTTGTTCATGGGCTGATCTTCTGATCTACTTCTGGAGTCTGCATAAAGCAGTTTCCTCCATACGCCAATTTTAAGAAGAGTCTACCTGCGTGCTTATTTTGTATAGGCTTCTAGACTTTCAGTGTAGGATGAATAACTGAGTTCATCTGAGTCTGAGAACACTAAACTCTTGCTTGAAAACCTCAGCTGCTAAGGTTTTTCTTTGTAATGAACAAGTAGTACATATTTCAAGTGTACTTTTTGTTTTTACACAAATTTGCAGCTCTTCTCCAACAAATTCTTGAATAATTTCTTTCCTTCTCAAAGAAGTTTAAGCCATGAGCAGGTGTGATTCATGTGTTTGCAGAAAATACTGAAGAAAATACTTGGAAGTCAGATATTTGGAAGTCACCTGGAAGTGGATCATCAGTTTTACAAGACCATCAGTTTAGAATCATTTCTGTTTCTATTAAGTATTTGCTTTGCAGAAGTTCTTTTCTTGAAAAATCTCAAGAAATAAGACAAAAAGCTTGTACTTTTAAGGGACTATTCCAGAACTTACTGAAAGAGAAGACTGGATTAATCTACTGTGCTTCAACAAAAAGCATTACCTAACTGCTTGAAGCAGCTCTGAAGACATGAAAGATTTAGCAGTGTTACCACAAATAAACATTCAAGGTCTGATCATTCATCTTTTTCCGACTTGCACATCACTAAGGGATCTGTGACTGGATTACTGAAAATGATAGAATTTAATATTGCACTTTTTAGTGTACTCATTCTTCATCATTACCTTTCTAAAACTAGTCAAAAGTCTTCACTTGACTGTTATAGTACCAAAACCTACTTTGCTGAAGTTCTCTTGAAAGAGTTGATCTTGAGCTGACGCATGTTTTGCTTACTAGCAGTGAGTGCTGTCTTGCTGATGTTTCCATCCTGCACCATGCTTCTTGTAGAGCAAAAAGCTTGTGGTACACCACTAATAGCACCCCACAGTAATGTGGCATCATCTCAAGTTCCTAACTGACAAATATGCAAGAAAATGTGTTCTTCAGTTATCAACTTGCCTGTGCCTGCTGTTTAAAGAACAAAATTATATTCTTTCTCCATTACAAACCCTGCTGGTTGAAAGGGAGTGTCTTCATTTTCATTCTATAGCAACAAACTTTTCCTTGCTTATAACAACCAGTTTTAGTTTATGAATGCAAGTTGTGGGGTTTTTTTCTTACTGTGTGGGTCTTTGAAACCATAAGAAACAAAATCATGTTGCAGTGTAATTTTCTGATAGCTCAGTTTTAGTTGCCTTGAAGCATATAATCACTAAATAAAACCATGATGGCAGGTATAGAAAAGTATGCTGGGAGTTCTGTTTTTCCATGAACATCACATGTGTCTTCACCTTTACATTACAAGAAGTTGAAGCATGAAGGCTATAACTACAAATAAGTTTATCTGGTTATCACACTTGATTAAAGACATTTGATAGCCCAGATGTTTCTCATAGGCTTTACTTGGAGGTGTTTAAAATCCTTAAACATTTTGGACCAGAGGCTACTTGAAAGATCATTGATTACAGTATTTGGCAGTGTATGCTCACCTCTAAGTTCCTATTTGGGTATGTTCTTCACTGCCTCTCTTTCTTTCCTGTGCATAATTAGCAGTTACACAGTGTAAAACTTGAGCCTTTCAAAAAGGAGATCTATCAGTCACAGTCTGTTTTAGAATGACACTCTGGAACCAATATTGTTGGCCTCTGGTTTATGTCTCAGACCCATTCAAAAGGGTTTAGCTTTTCTTTTAGTTTCATTGATGAAGCTGCCAGTGTTGCTGCTCACAATTTTTATTTCCCTGCAAACTTCACCTCTTCTTTCACATTTACATTTTGGAAGGATTCTTGATTATATGTTACACTATTTGCGGAAAGGCACAAGGCAAAGTGGAGTTTCATGCTAGATTGAAATCCACTCTCTCACACTCAGATCAGCATTCTGCGCTGCTCTGATTTAACCCGAGTTTGTTGGGCATAGTACCATTTGGGGTGCATTTGCTAAACACCTACTTATCCAATCTGGGAGAATTGTTGGTATCCAGATTGGAAAATGGTACCATCCTTTCTGAGTGCAATTCAATTTAGAGTATAATGCTGTCTTGAGAATAAAGGTGAACACTGGGAAAAATCTTAATCTGCTACCCTGGATGACTGTAGTATGGTCTGTCTTTCTTGTGCCAAACTTTAATTTTGGACAAGATATCACCAGAGCAGTACTGGTGCTGAGATTCCAGTGTTGCTCTCAAGTGGGTTACTGTCTGCCACTTTATCTTGTTTTACCAAGAGATGACCTTACGCTCCTTTTGCAAAAGGAATTCCCTTTTAGTTTTGACCTGCTTTTGCAGGCAGCTCTGATTTGAAAATTTTAAATACTTGTACATGTGAAACATTTGTTATGCAGATACATTGCCTTGTTTAAGTTTACTAGCTTCTTTTCTGTTATTTTAGTTCCAGGCTCTCTTCCATGAAGACTGCAAGCTTCAGTGAACATTTTAACTAACTTCAGTGGTGTGTCTACTGTCTTTTGGTTGTTTTTTTGCCATTAATCTTGTAGAGCAGCTTGCTAGTTTCTGTTCCGTGCAAATTGGCAGTAGTGCTAAGCTAGTAACAATTAGATGCTTATGTTATTGGGTAACTGACATTTCTTTTCAGTGTAAGTAAACATGTTAGCATTGTTAATCTTTTAATATCTGCAATAAATGTAGAACTAAACAATTTCTGGTTTAAATGTTTTGCTTGTGAATTTGGCCATTTGTAAGAGATATGCATCATTTTGGCACTAAAAAGTGGAATTGAGATTATGCAGTGTTATATTAGTGTAAAGCAGGATTTTATAGTGTATGAGGGAAGGAAGGTCCCTCTGTTTTCTGTGCTGCTAAATGTCTCTGTTGAGAATACCCACTAAATCATTTCTTAGTTACTTTTTCATGTGGCTTCTAGCACATTAAATCCATACACAACAGTGTTACTTTCCACACGAATGCCAAAACCATTGTGCCCCAGTCAGAATGCAAGAGTTTTACCCTTTCACGTATCCCAGGAATTAGTTGTCTCTCTGATTTTCTTGGTGTACTGACTTTAAAACAGCAAAACTTTCTCTTTACGTATGTGTGTGGTTTACTGTTGCCTTTAAATTAAAATTCCTTTTTTAGACAGGATATGAGGGGGAAAATTGCAACGAACTGAAATTTAACACTTGTGCAGCCGCCTTCTATGGAGAGGTAAAGTGAGAGTATTCATTTGTGAAAGATACCAGCCAGGTCTCCTGTCCCTTGCTTTTATACTGACAGCTAGGAAAAGCTTTACAGAGGCAAGTTCAAGCCCTGGCTACACCTTTTTCCTCCTTTTCCTTCAAAAATTTATTATGTGTAAGGACCTGGTTCTAGAAGAAAGGACATTTGCTCTCGTTGAAGAGAAATGAGGAGATCCCCATTTTGGGGGAGGTGCCCTAACAGTAAGAGAACTACAGTCAATAATACACTGTTTGGAGTAATTGTGTTGGACTAATAGAGATGTTTTCTTTTTTTTTTTTTTTTTTGCCTTCAAAGCTTTTCTTTGGTGTAATACCAGTGACATTTTTCCTATTTATTTTGGGTTTGGTTTTGTTGGGTTTTTTTTAGAAGACACTACAGCATCCTTAGTGTGAACACTTAATCTGTGCAGAGATGTTATTTCACAAAATCAATGTACAGTATTTTTTTCTATTGATATTCCATTCTGCTTTAAAGTTAATCCTGATGTATTGTGCCCAAAGAAAGTCTGGACTCAGAAATTCAAATATTGTTATTTTGGATTGTTTTCTATCCTACAAGCAGGTATATTTTCTAATTAAAAATGAATTCCTGAAAGTCCTGTATCATCTTTTAATTCTGCATATCTCATGACTGAGTGGCCAATCACAACCAGACTGTAGATTTGAGCAATAATAAACACCTTAAATGAGAATATGCTCAAAGAACAATAGGGTACTTCTGAAATAAATAGTTTTTGTGAACCTTGTTAAGTAGGTAACTTGCTGAATTGCAGCAAGTGTGGAAAATGTTTGCATTATCTGTGGGCAATAAAGTTACTGCTGTTTAAGAAAGCGCTAGCACGCAGTGTGTTCTCTTCAGCTTTTTGTGCCTAATTCATGTCATTAGAAGGTTGTGTTCATTTCCTTGAAAATTATCTCCTAGGCAAGACTTTGCTTTGAAGGGGAAGTCATATTTCGTTATCCTGCCACCAGGTAATAAAGCAGCAAATACAAAGCAACAAAATCTAATTTTTAAAACAGTTCATTATAGACTGTTTGATTCGTGGGGTTAACAGAAGTTCTATCTTGGAACAGTTTACAAGACCTATTTCAGAAACCGGAACTATTGTTGGATGGGAAGTAAGAATTTTGAAAAACAGTCTAAAATGAGAGATCATTAAGAGGTCACACAACACAAAAATGAAAAGAGAATCCGTAAGTTCTGGCTTTATTTGATGCCTTATAAGTTACTGTGTGTTATTTACTGATGCCAATGGGAGGAAGGTTAGCAGATGGAGTTTTGCAAAGTTCTTGTTTGTTGTGTACACCGAGCACAAAAATCCGTGGTTTGTTTTACTGTTCGATCCCGGTAATTACATCTAAGTTACGAAGAGGATGCAGATCACTTCTCATCCATATGCCTATGCAACTTATGTGCATTTCATTCAGAAATGAAAAATACTAAAGATGATGAGTTGTTAGGGGTAGGGTTTGACACAAAAAAAGCGTTTCTGCTGAGCGTCAAGCTTCCACACCCAGGGCCCACCCTGGAGACCTAGCGAGAAGCCAGACGTTAGGACAGGTAATGCGTGACGCGGGAGAAGAATGTTTTTGTTCCGATTTCCCCCAAAAGTCTCAGCACAGCCCCCCCCCCCCGCCGAGGACCGACTGCTCCTTCCCCCCACCACCACCACCCCAGGAGCGTGTGTGGCTCCGTCCCCGCGGTCACCCGGCGGGGGACGGAAGGCAGGGGCCGTGCCCCCGGGACCGGAGCTGTGCCCCCGGGACCGGAGCTGTGCCCCCGGGGACCGGGGCTGCCCCGTTCCGCCGCTCTCGGCTTCTTCCCCCGGGGGGGGGGGGGGGGGGGGGGGGGGCGCGGCGGCCAGCGCCCGG